AGATAATTTAGAATTTTATGCATGAACATCTTGATTATTTTATACTAGATTTTATCCTGTAATTTCTGCCATCTCATATAACTTGACCTTCTTGGTACAAACCTGTGATAGTTGAAAGGAGTCAAGATTGTGTCATTTTGACCATAGATAATGTGTAATGTATGTCTTCACTTATACCATTAATAATATATGAGATGTTTTTCATCTGTGTAATTCATGTGTGTGTCTGGTGAAGTTGAGTGTTTGTGGTTTGTGTCCAGTAGGGGGCAGAGCAGCTTGCTGCTTTGTTCCTCGCAGCATCTCTGCTGTTGACTCTCATGCTGGAGCACATTATTTTGAATTATTTTCAGCTGAAATTTTAATAATCTCTTGTTATTGAGTTATACCTGGTACTGAATTATAGATGTAAATCAGAATATCTAGCTATAAAACTGTCTTTATTTCTCTCTTCTCATTTCAGTGAACAAAGCTTTAGTGACACGACTATAAACATTTACTGTACTGCCAAAGCATATGATGTATGTATACAGTAGAGCAGAAATAAAGATGAATAAATTTGGATAGGCCTACTTAAAATAATTTCTAAAGATGTTCTTTGGTGATTTATGATTTTTAATGGAGTCTCTTATGCTCATCAAGTCTGCATTTATTTGATAATAAAAAACAGAAAATGATGATAAAATACAGAAAAAACATTAATATTATGAAATATTTTTGCAATTTCTAATATGGATTTCCTATTTTAATATACTTTAAAATATAATTTATTTCTGTGATGCAGCGCTGAATTTTCAGCATCATTACTTCTGTCTTTAGTGTCACATGATTCTTCAGAAATCATTCTAATATGCTGATTTATCATTGGTGTTGCTTAATATTTTTTTTGGAAACTGTGATACTTTTTTCTTTTATTCTCTGAATAAAAAGCTAAAAAGAACAGCATTTATTCAAAATAGAAATCTTTTCTAACAATATAAGTCTTTACTATCACTTTGTATCCATTTAACACATCCTTGCTGAATAAAAGTATTAATTTCTTTAAAAAAAAGAAAAAAAATGACTGACCCCAAACTTTTGAATAGTAGTGTATATTGTATATACACATACAGTTATTTTACATTGCAATAATATTTCACAAAATTACAGTTTTTTCTGTATTTTTGGTCAAATAAATGCAGCCTCGGTGAACATAAGAAACTTCTTTAAAAAACATTACAGATCTTACTGATCCCAAACTTTTGAAAGGCACTGTATATATTAAGGATTTATGTATTGTGAACATCATTGAAGTGATTCAATACAATTTTATTTAGGCCTAGTTTAATTTTTGAATTTGCCTGAGCAAAAGAATTTGTGCCATTGGCACTAAAAAAACTACAATTATAAATAATTATAAATAATAAATGCAGAAATACATTTTCTGAATACATTTAGATAGTTTTTTAAAATATTATTTCTAAAGATGTTCTTTTGTCTTTCTCTTTCAGCATTGTAATGATTTGTTTTTGTAATTGAATGTCTGCATCACAACACTCGATTGCGCATTAAGTTTTCTAAGAGAGCAATTTACTGCTGGCTATTTGAGCTTACATAATGTCCGTAAATGACAGCGAGTGTGTGTTTGAGCGCTCTGTGCCGCTGACCCACTCATGTTATTCGTAAGCACACAGCCCGCAGGTGCAGTTTGTCATCATGCGCTGATGCTTATTTGTTGCTTTGTTTGTGTGTTATTTTGAAGGATCCCGAGCAGAGGAATCAGCACACAGAGGATGCTGGGAAACGGGTACATGTTATCTCACTCGCAGAACACTTACTTAGTGCTTCTCGCCTCTAGACGTGTGTGTGTGTGTGCCATGTTTCACCTCTCGTCTTGAACTGGAAGCAGAGCAAATCTCCTGGAAGACAGTGTGTCTGTGTGTCAGGACGGGGCGGCTGGATGTATATGTTGCGGATCGACTGAGTTTCTCGATCAGGCCAATATGATTTTGTCAATAGCCTCTCAGAAGAGAGCAAACTTCAGAAAGTGTCATTGATTGGACGCTGTCTGATCTCCACAGTCTAGTGCCTCATATTTCACAGACATCCAGTGGATTTAAGGTCTTCTGTGCCTTTTTTGATATAGTTATCGCCGGTTCTGGGATTAAATGGATGGAACTAGCTGTAACTCTTAATAGTCTCGTGTAGTACCAGACTTTTGAACCTCACACTTAGGGCCTGTTTACACCTGGTCATTTCATGCGTTTTTGCTGATCGGATCTATCTGATTTGTTAAAACGTTTCCATTTACACTTGGCCACATAAATGTGTCATCGCAATTCACGGTCAGAGTTCACGTCAATGAAATCAAAAGATAAGAGCTGGATTTGATTAATTATCAGCTCATGTCAAGATCAATGACCGCAATAGGAGAGCACTGGAAAGATAAGTTTGTCTTACTACTTTTAATGAAGATGATTGTGTGTTGACCGTCTGCATATTACTTTTTCATTCGCGGCAGTTTGCATGTCGGCTTGCTGAAGAGATACTCCGCTACTCGTCCACTGCGATGCGTGTTGCATTAGCGCAATCATATCTGGCTATAATGTCATATAGCCTATAACACGCTCTCACACGTTTATTATTTTATCATTTTGGGAGGAGTAAAATTTACATACGTGGTTTCAACAACCAGATGCATTTACACTTGTCCTGTTTCGTCTGGAATGCGGCCCAGACCACCTCCTGAAGTGGTTTGAGCGATCAGATTTATATCCGTCTCGAATGCGTTTTGGAGGGCATTTACACCAGGCCTTTTCACGATTGGATAGCTATCCGATCAGACAAAATGCATGAAGTGACCAGGTGTAAACAGCCCCTTAGACTAGAAGAGACTATCTGACTGTCACGCTCTGGAGGCCTCTAGGGACAGGCTTACATGGGACGGACGGCCTCCAGGGCGGTACCCATTCCGGGACCCATGGCAGAGCAGGCAGACTAGGGAGCCATGGCGGAGCAGACAGTTCAGAGGGCCATGGCAGAGCAGACAGTTCAGAGGGCCATGGCGGAGCAGCCTCTGTGACCTTGGCCTCGGCACTCGGCCTGGCCTCTACGGCCCGATTTCTATAGCCCCCCCCCAAAAAAATTTGAGCCCGCAGAATTCCCGGGCGTACTCCACGAAGGGAAGATCTCTTACGGCTAGGGCGGCGAATCTCGCGGCGGTTTCCATGATCCCAGGGGGGGGAAACAGAAAACACAAAACACTTTCAAAACAGGTAAACAAAAACTGGGAGAAGGGGCGCCGCTTACTTTTGGTAAGGTCTGGTATTCTGTCACGGTCTGCTATTACTGTGTTGGAGCGAGGAATGAGGAGCACGCAGGAGAATTATAATCAGAAGAGTCTTTAAACATTCACAGGAACGCACAGGAGATAGACGAACAATACCGGACAGGAAACAAGGGGCAGAACACACTTTATATACAGACTGAACGAGGGGATAACGAGACACACCTGGAATCAATGAAACACAATGGGAACAGGAAAAACCAAATAAGGGCATGATGAAACGTTCACGAGGGAGAAACTAGGTCACGGGGAGAACATGGGGAGCAAAACACAACACAGACAGTCCAGGGGTGTGACACTGACATTATTTTATTTTATTTTATTTATTTTATTTTTATTTGTTGATGGGTCTACTATTACTTAGAAAATTGTCATGAGAATCATTTTTATTTTTAGTATCTTTTGGGTTTATTTTTTAAGTTATATAAATTTGTATTATTAAAATAGGTATATTTGTAATAATTATTTTTTAACAAAAATACAAATGTATCAAATTTTCATTACTTTGAACATTGTGATAAACCTTATTCTTATATTAGTATTTTTAATTATTAATCCATTAAAATGTGTATATTGTGAATATAAATAATACCTAATAAATATTATATACAGTATGCATATTATTAAAAATATAAGTAATGTATCAAATCTATCAAATTTACATAACTTTGAAAATTGTCATAAGAAACATTATTTTCAATATAAATATATATTTTTAAGAATTTATTTCACATCAATTCACATGCTACTAACAAGCATCTTTCGAAGTTTTGATATCACTAACTTGGCAAACTTTAGCAAGTGACCAGTGTTCATCTTGTCAACCTGGTACATTGTAGACGTGAATTGATTTCCTGTTGGACGGATAGTAAAACCAGTGTGCCCTTATTCTCGGAAATTGTGTAAAGTCAGCCGATCAGATTAGAGCTTGCCAGACTGAGAAAAGACTTGTCTAAGTGACAGGAATTTAGGGATGTTGTTGAGCAGAATTGCATGGTTTCAGGAGTTGAGCTGATCCCCTGATTTGCCGTACTTCAATGCACATTGAGATCTTGTTAGCCAGATTAAACTTTAGCATGTTTTGAAAGATGTGTCCTGCTGAAAAGAGCAGATAGTGGAATATTTCAGCACTGGTTACAGACACTGAGCAGGCCTCAAAAAAAGCTGGCCTTTTTGTTGAAGTTATGGCCGGGAGATGAATTAAAGCTCACTTCACTGACCCAAAGAAATAAGCCCTGTAAGTTCAGCACAGACTATATACAGTGGGTACGGAAAGTATTCAGACCCCCTTAAATTTTTCACTCTTTGTTATATTACTCCGAAGCGGGACGCTGTAGAGCACAACAGTAGGCTTCCGAAAGTACAAATGCCATTCATTTCCTCCATAGAGAAATTGATTTTTAACAATCATTTGTAAACATACCAAGTTGGACCTGGCATGAGCTCTGAAGATGGTAAACAGTGATATGCTTCTGTAGAAACAAGTCTGCATGATTTCAGCTGATATAAATGTAATTTGTAATTAGTTTGGTTCCAAAACTCTAAAAATATTTTGAAACGCTTATGGAGAAAACGAATGAGAACATACTTTCAGCACCAAGTCTGCTGGAAAAGTGTGGAGTCACTGCTGTGTGCACACTATTGTGAGTTTGACGGTGTGTCCCGTTCACTCCCGCAGGTCAGAAGGGTTCCAGGGTCGAGTGGTCATCTGCACAAGACCGAGGATGGAGACTGGGAGTGGAGTGATGATGAAATGGACGCGATAAGTGAGGAGGGGAAGGCTGCTGTCAATCACGGAAGGGTAAGTGTGGCCTGGATGTGAATCATCATTCTTAAAGGGATAGTTTGTTCAAAAATGAACATTTTATTTATAAAAATGGTTTATTTATAAATATATGTATAATATGTATTTATGTTTAATTTATAAATTGTTTATTTATAAATATTTATTTATTATTAACTCTATATTCCACACCTTCTGGAATCATAGAATATGTTGTGTGAAGAAGAGACTGAAATTAAACTGATTCATTACGATGTTTATTTATAAATCAATATATGTAAAAATATTTTTCAAAAATATTTAGATATTATTAACATCATATTCTACACCTTCTGAAGTCATACAATATTTTTGTGTAATGAACAGTATATATATATATATATATATATATATATGCAGAGAGAGAGGGAGAGAAATGTATTTATTCAGAAATATTTATATATGATTTACTTTATATCCCATACCTTCTGAAGTCATATACAGTATTTTTGTGATGAACAGATTGAACTTAAACTAATTAATGAAATTGTTTATTTCTAAAAAAGTATTATAAAAATGCATTCATTTATAATATTAATATATTATTTACTTTATATTCCATACCGTCTGAAGTCATATACAGTATTTTTATGTAATAAATAGACTGAACTTGAACTGATTAATTAACATTTTTATTAATTACAAAATAAACATTTATTTATAAATATTTTTATATAATTTACTTTATATTACACACCTTCTGAAATCATACAATATTTTAGTGTGATAAACAGACTGAACTTGAACTTATTATTTAAAACATTGTTATCATATATATACAATTATATGTTTATATTGTGTAATAAACATACTGACTTTGAACTGATTCATTAACGAATATCTCTTTTGAGTGTGATCTTTTAAATGAATCAGTTTATCTGAATGATTTAAATCAGTCATGAATCAGACTCGCTGAATGATCCAGTAGCAGTGTTTAACAGTAGATAATTGATAACATTAAATTATGGTCTGTTTCTCACACAAATTTATAATTTGTTTTCAGAAGATGTAATGCATTCAGTTGAAAAACTGCAAAATGTACACATTTTCACTAGTGGTCTCAGAGTTTTGGACTTTACTGTAAAAATAATGCCTTCGGTATGAATTTGCATTTAACCCACATATGAGATTTGAACAACTGCACTTTCTCTGATGTAAAGCCGAGCAGCACACCTCAAGCTCTCTTAGTATTTTATCATAAACGCTCTGCCTGTACCATACAGGTGACGCACACCATTTGATCAAAGCCGAGGGGCCTTTTTCTCTCAGAAATGTGAAATATATAATGCTAAAACGTCTCCGACAGGAAGAAACAATCAGAGCCCCCGAAGCGAAGCGTCCACAAATCAGTGGCTGCTAATGAAGCTGGAGACGTTGTTCTTGTGTTTATTGTTTATTATGGAATGCAAATGAGCAAGTGCTGATTACACTCCCACACAAATAGCTACATCTGTCTGTCGTACTTTGTGCGAGAGCGAGAACATAATTGAATCCTGTCTCGTTATTGCTTTTGCAGTCACGCAGGGTCAAAGACGAAAACCAGCATGTAAGTTACAGTCATTCTCTCTTTTACCTTTCAGAATGTTTGAGGTTTAATTAGCTGTGTGGGGTAATGCATCGCTGCTTTGAGTGTGTCGACATGAAATCAAAACTGGCCCTCTTTACTTTACGTAATGCACGTTACCGGCTTAATGTGAATGATTCTTCAGTGCAAGTACAGTAATGTTTGTCTTTCATCAAAACTTGCTCCGTTTCTGAAACAACTTACTTTTTCGGTAGTACAGGCTGTTGGTTAATGTTGACCAGGAGACAAATAGATATTTAGTTATTGTTTTAGTGTTTGCAGCCTTTATAAAATATTTCTGATATATAATTTGCGCTATTATTTTTATTAGAAAAATGAAACCGACAATAAAAGACGTATGTTGAAGGAAGGACCAGGACAATATTTATAGACAAGAATATCATAAAAACTTGTATGGACTCTTTGGTCCAGGCTAGACAGCAACCAACTAGTAACCAGCCAAAACAACCTAGAAATATACATAGCAACGATCTTGTAACCATCCAAAACACCTTTGTAAATGCATAGCAACGTCCTGGTAACCACCCAAAACATTCTAGTAAAACGCATAGCAACACCCTGGTGACCATCCAAAACACTCTAGTAAAACGCATAGCAATGCCCTGGTAACCACTCAAAACACTCTAGTAAAACGCATAGCAACACCCTGGTGACCATCCAAAACACCTTAGCTACCGCATAGTAACAACCTCGTAACCACCCAAAACATTCTAGTAAAACGAATAGCAATGCCCTGGTAACCACTCAAAGCATTCTAGTAAAATGCATGGCAACGCCCTGGTAACCATCCAAAACACCCTAGTAAAACGCATAGCAATGCTCTGGTAACCACCCAAAACATTCTAGAAAAACACATGGCAATGCCCTGGTAACAACCCAAAACACACTAGTAAAATGCATAGCAACGCCCTGGTAACCACCTAAAACATTCTAGTAAAACACACAGCAATGCTCTGGTAACCACCCAAAACATTCTAGAAAAACACATGGCAATGCCCTGGTAACCACCCAAAACACACTAGTAAAATGCATAGCAACGCCCTGGTAACCACCTAAAACATTCTAGTAAAACACACGGCAATGCCCTGGTAACCACCAAAACACCCTAGCAAAATACATAGCAATGCCCTGGTAACCACCAAAACACCCTAGTAAAATGCATAGCAACGCCCTGGTAAACATTCTAGTAAAACACACGGCAATGCCCTGGTAACCACCAAAACACCCTAGCAAAATTAGCAAAATCGCCCTGGTAACCACCCAAAACACTGGTGACCATCCAAAACACCTTAGCAACAGCATAGTAACAACCTCTTAACCACCCAAAACATTCTAGTAAAACGCATAGCAATGCCCTGGTAACCACTCAAAACATTCTAGTAAAACGCATGGCAATGCCCTGGTAACCACCCAAAACATTCTAGTAAAACACATGGCAACACCCTGGTGACCATCCAAAACACCTTAGCAACAGCATAGTAACAACCTCTTAACCACCCAAAACATTCTAGTAAAACGCATAGCAATGCCCTGGTAACCACTCAAAACATTCTAGTAAAACGCATGGCAACACCCTGGTAACCACCCAAAACATTCTAGTAAAACGCATGGCAATGCCCTGGTAACCACCCAAAACACACTAGTAAAATGCATAGCAACGCCCTGGTAACCACCCAAAACATTCCAGTAAAACACACGGCAATACCCTGGTAACCACCAAAACACCCTAGTAAAATGCATAGCAACGCCCTGGTAACCACCCAAAACATTCCAGTAAAACACACGGCAATACCCTGGTAACCACCAAAACACCCTAGTAAAATGCATAGCAACGCCCTGGTAACCACCCAAAACATTCTAGCAAAATACATAGCAATGCCCTGGTAACCACCAAAACATTCTAGTAAAATGCATAGCAATTCCCTGGTAACCACCCAAAACATTCTAGTAAAATGCATGGCAACATCCTGGTAACCACCCAAAACATTCTAGTAAAACGCATGGCAACACCCTGGTAACCACCCAAAACATTCTAGTAAAACGCATGGCAATGCCCTGGTAACCACCCAAAACATTCTAGTAAAACACATGGCAACACCCTGGTGACCATCCAAAACACCTTAGCAACAGCATAGTAACAACCTCTTAACCACCCAAAACATTCTAGTAAAACGCATAGCAATGCCCTGGTAACCACTCAAAACATTCTAGTAAAACGCATGGCAACGCCCTTGTAACCACCCAAAACATCCTAGTAAAATGCATGGCAACGCCCTGGTAACCACCCAAAACATTCTAGTAAAAAGCATGGCAACGCCCTGGTAACCATCCAAAACACACTAGTAAAATGCATAGCAACGCCCTGGTAACCACCTAAAACATTCTAGTAAAACACGCGGCAATGCCCTGGTAACCACCAAAACACCCTAGCAAAATACGTAGCAATGCCCTGGTAACCATCAAAACACCCTAGTAAAATGCATAGCAACACCCTGGTAACCACCCAAAACATTCTAGTAAACCACACGGCAATGCCCTGGTAACCACCAAAACACCCTAGTAAAATGCATAGCAACGCCCTGGTAACCACCCAAAACACCCTAGCAAAATACATAGCAATGCCCTGGTAACCACCAAAACACCCTAGTAAAATGCATGGCAACGCCCTGGTAACCACCCAAAACATTCTTGTAAAACGCATGGCAACTCCCTGGTAACCACCCAAAACATTCTAGTAAAACGCATGGCAACGCCCTGGTAACCATCCAAAACACCCTAGTAAAATGTATAGCAACGCTCTGGTAAACACCCAAAACATTCTAGAAAAACACATGGCAATGCCCTGTAACCACCCAAAACACACTAGTAAAATGCATAGCAACGCCCTGGTAACCACCTAAAACATTCTAGTAAAACACTCGGCAATGCCCTGGTAACCACCAAAACACCCTAGCAAAATACATAGCAATGCCCTGCTAACCACCAAAACACCGTAGTAAAATGCATGGCAACGCCCTGGTAACCGCCCAAAACATTCTAGTAAAACGCATGGCAACACCCTGGTAACCGCCCAAAACATTCTAGTAAAACGCATGGCAACGCCCTGGTAACCACCCAAAGCATTCTTGTAAAATGCATGGTAATGCCCAAAACATCCTAGCAGCGAATGTCCAGGTAACCAAAACACCCTAGCAAGTGCATAGCAATGTGTCAGTATGATTTAAAAAAAAAGATTTTTATTCAGCAAAGATGCATTAAATTGATCAAAAGTGACATTAAAGGCATTTGTAATACTACAAAACATTTCTGTTTCAAATTAATACTGTTCGTTCACAATATTATGCTTTTCACTTTATTTTTGATCAAATAAATGCAGGCTTGATGAGACTTCTTTCAAAAACATTGAAAATCTTTTTAAAACCCCGTTTGTGTATGTGATACACGTGTATATGTGATATTACAGAAGTAAAATAGGTCATGATTCCTATTTCATGTTGTCTTTGGATTTACGCTACAGCTGTAAACTGTAAATGCTGTAAATATGATCTCAGACACAGGGGGCTTGACTGACTATGTTTGGCTGTGAATAGATTTAATTAACGACTGAAGTATCATTTGATCATTTAATTGAGAGTATCGAGGGATTGCGCTGTTTGCCTAATAAACTGCGTATTAAATAATTAACAAGTGTGACCTATTCGACTGTATTGGACAAATAGCAATTAAGCAGCGCAAACACAGATCTTATTTCCTACTGTCTGAGTGCACACAGCCATGTTCCACTCATATTTTCTCTCACTGGATTACCAAACGCCATGACTTTTAGCTCAGCCTTTGAGCTTGTAGAAAACCCATTTCCCCAGCTGCTGAAGAAGTGTCCTTGGAGGGAATGAAAAGAAACAGTGAGGGGTGGAGAGATGTCTTTCTGTACCGTCCTTTGCTCTTAAGCACTCCATTTTTCCTCTGCAGGGTGAAGTGAACGCTAACAGTCTCCCGCTAGAGGACCTGTCCATTCAGCATCCCCAGGTGAGGCCCGGCCGGCGCTGACAGTGTTGCTGTGATTTGTCTTGATTCGGTGGCCCTGATGCTCTGTGCTGTGAGGCGGCTGGTCTCTGGGCAGTCTGGACACAACCCTGGGGGCCGACTGCCTTGAGGGAGCCTATTCAACTTAATATTTCAAATAAAGAGTGAGAGTGAATGCCTGCTGCAGCATCTGGAAAAGAGTCTCTGGTCCCAAACCTAGTGAGCCGCCTGCGTAGGGAGCATTTTAATGCATCAGAGCCGCGTTTCGGACACAAAGACTAGCTTCTTTCAGTTGCGTTTATCCTTTGTGAAGAAGGCACTATTATACCAGAGCGTTGCTATACAATTATATTTTTTATTAATATTTTAAATCCGCTGTTATTTTTTCAGTTTTCGTTTTAATTTTAGTTTAAATTTTAGGACATTTTAAAGTGTTTTTCTAATTTTTCTCATTTTTTGTTGTTTTTTTAAACATTACTGTTTAGGTTTAATTTATTTTTAGTTCAGTTTTAGTTTTTATTTATTTAAAGTTAGTAATTCTAGTTCTTCAACTTTTAAGTTTAATTTTAGTTATTGATAATATAAGCCTGATGCATTGTGGCAGAACCTGATGAACCTGAGCAAAGTGACAGAAATGTTGATTAACATCAGAATTTAAGCATCAATAATTAAAATAAATAGCTTAGTTTATTAAAATAAAAAAATGCACCATTATTAAACTTTTGTTATGGCTAATAAAAATACATGGCTGATATTAAAATGTTAAAATTAAAATTGAAATACTATTTTGCCTGAGTGAATGAAAAAAATGTAACTAAATACTAGAAATCAATCATTTTAAATCAGTACATAAGTACATGTTTGCATCACAACATTATAATATACTGTTTGAAAAATGCATATTCATTTTAAGATTTGCTTAAGATTATTATTTTTTTTTTTTACTATTGCTTTTAGTTATTGTATTTAATATAAAAAAATGTGTTTTCATTTTTATTTTAGTTTAATTTTTAGTAATTTTGTTAAGGGATTTTGTCATTTTTATTTTTTATATATTATGCTCTATTAATCATTTTATTTCTATATCTCTATTTAGATTTAATTTATTTTTTTCAATTTTAGTCATTTTAGTTATAAGATTTTCATCTAATATTTATATTTCCTTTTATTTCAATTAATGAAAACTTTTTTTTGTTTTGTTTTATAGTCGATAAAACAACACTGATTTTTAGTGAGCATTAGATGGCTTCAAAGGTAATCTAAATGTAAAAATAAAGGCATGCAAAATTCAATATCCAATACTGGCCAATATAGATATCCATTATCAGCTGTTATATTAAAATAAATGAAAAGATTTGTAGTTTTTACTGATAACATATGGTATGGTACCAATATTTAGTGGATTCCTAAATAAAAATGGACTGCTTTACCGAAAATGTGTGTTTATGTACTTATATGCTAATTAGAGTTTGACACTGTTAGCTTCAGTATTTTTCTGCCTTGCTTCAGTCATAATATGAGTTGACTAGAGTAATTTCGCTTCACATATCCAGTAAAAACCTGATTTCCTCAAGACCGTAAGCTGCAGTGCGTGCTGTGTAAAGATCTTTTAACCTCAACATCTTGAACACTTCGGCAAAAGCAAGCAACTTACCATCATGTTGTGTGTTTGTGTTCAGGTTCAACCGTTGGAGAAACCCTCGAGAGTTCAGGGAGCGGTGAACATGGTCCTGAGGTTAAGGTGAGCGAGCTCATCAAAAGGGTCTGGCTGCAGCTTGGCGCTTGCACTCTCAGACGTGCATTCTCAGGCTTGCTTATTGTCTCCATTGGCAACACAGGATTTGTGTCGACTGCAAGTGACATCGCTGGTATCGGAGAGTGCAAGTGGCGATTGCAAGTGACTTCGTAATTTAGTTTCTTTTTTCTTGTCTTCACCACCTGGCTACTGTTGTAAAATGTTGAGAGATTCAAACAAAAAGTAATCAATAAATAGAACAAAATAAAAAATAATAAAGCCTGCAAGTGACGTCGCTAGCGGAAGCGCAAGTGTCTGAGAGTGCAAGCCTGAGAATGCAAGTCTGAGAGTGCAAGCGCCAAGCTGCAGCCAGACCCTTCTCGAGCTCATTGCCGTTTCTCTTTTTTCCATCCCTCTTTGTGCTACTTTCATCTGGAAAGAGCGGCATGTCGTCTGTATAAAGTGGCCAGATAGTACAGTGTGTGTGTGTGAGTGTGTGTGCTGCTGGAAGAAGAGTGTGTCTCTTTTTAAACGATCTCTTTCACTCCGTCTCTCACCTCATGTTGAAGTGCATCATGTTAATGCATTTTCTCAGTCGCCCTGGGTTAGCGTGGGAAGAGGTCCTTTAACCCTGACCTCATTTTTGCATTCTCCTGCCTGAATTTGCATTTGAGCCCATGCAAAAGACAGACCACAATCTGTTCTCAGATCACGTCTAAGGCCAGAAAAGCTGAAACGAGTGCTTGGCAAAACCAGTGGTGGTGTCTTATTTAAAATTGGCAGAAAATAGAAACTTCAGCCAACTTGCATTGTGAAGCTGTTTATCGATTAAGGAAAAACGTAGGCCAGGACTTGAGTTTATTCGTCAGTCGTTGATTGCATAGGCGCCGATCCCCATGGAAAAACACGAGATAGTCTCCGTTCATTTGAACCAATAAGACATGGATTGCAGCTTGTACAACTTTATTCTCGTTTTCATAGTTCATTTGAGGCTGTTTTTGGCATTATTTTAATGGCAAATGTCAAGAGTGCACCCACCGTCTCTTTATGCATTGTGTGGCCTTCTTGAGCATCAGTACATGTTTTCACTTTTTGTAATAGTTATGCACGAGTCCCTCAATTTTCCTCAGTGTTAAAAGATGGATTTCAAAATCATACAGTCAATGTTGGAAAGGGTTCAAATATGCAGAAGATGCTGGAAAACCAAAGAATGTGCAGGAGCTGGAGGATTTTTCTGAAGAACAGCAGGCATTTGAAATTCTCAGGACAAACAAGGGACTCATGAACAACTATCACAAAATATAAAAACAGTCGTGGATCATCCAGGAAATGACGCATAGTATTAAGACTTTTCAGTGGGGTCATTTTTATAAATTCAGTTATTATTTTGTCTTGTGGAGTATATGTAAACATCTGTTATGTGAAATAGCTTATTCAGGACAGTACTAAATAAAAAAATAACATGCAATTTTCATAATCCCTCTTATTTTGTTTCAGTTGTGACATACATTAGAGTGAAATCATATTTCTAGTCCTATCTCTGCATCATATCTGCTGAATGAAATCCAATACTTGTTTCTTATTAATTCTGGGGCGCTGATTCCAAAAAGAGTGGCTGTTTTCCACAAAATATGATGTATTTTGTAGCATCTTTCCTTTGACAACCATTTGTAAGCTGAAGAAGTCTTGTATTTTCCCTTTATCAGCAGAAAAACTGCCACAAGACATGATTATACTGTATGTATGTCCAATTCTCAGCCCATTTTCACATATGAATGATTCTGAAGACATTATTTTATGGTTAAAAGTTAAATTATAAATCTTGAATACTTATTTTTGTCTTTAATATGGTAACATTTTGACTGCTTTTGTCAATTTTTTAAATGCTAATACATGCATGCATGCATAAATAAATATATTTGAACTAGGGATGCACAATATTGGATTTTTGCCGGTATCCGATATGCCGATATTTTCAACTCATTTTGGCCGATACCGACACCAATATATTTCCTTTTGTTTGGAAACAACACCAAGTCTCTCCTGTGCAGAAATTATAAGCAAAATATTTTTTAATTTTGGTTAGTTTTTAACAAGAACTTATTTATTAGAATTAAACAATAATGAAAGTTTTTTTGACAGTACATTGAAGCTTTGAAAATTACTATAAATATACTATATATCAATCGCTGCATTTTATCCCCCAGAAAGATGCAGTGTTAACCCTAACATTTTATTTTAAGATTTAACATTTGTAGATGGTCTAAAGCAAAGAGTTGTAAAAATTCAGAAAATCTTTTAGAGCTTATGATTTGTTTAAAAAATAAAATATATCACACATTAATGAATAAATCAGTATATATAAAATTATGTAATTTACAAGTGTCATGTTTGTGATTTTTTTTCATGTAAGCTATCGCTTCTGACCTTTAAATCAAAACATACTCATTATTTGATGTCATCAATTACTGCTTTATTTAATCAGAAACACAGTCTAAATGTTTTTTGTGTAGGCTATTTTACTTTTAATTTAATTAGAAGTAGGCCAACAGCGCCCCCTACAGATTAACACTCCTTACCGAACGGGCGTTAGGACCTGGGGGAGGCTGTCACTGCTGCCTCTGCTACCACTGCACGTGCTATTATTGTTTACTCTATCACACACCGAACGCGTCATTCTGTATGTGCTTTCACAGATTAAAGGATTTGTTCACCCAAAAATGAAAATTCTGTCATTAATTACTCACCCTCATGTCGTTCCACACCCCTAAGACCTTCGTTCACCTTCAGAACACAAATTAAGATAGTTTTGATCAAATCCGATGGCTCAGAGAGGCCTCCATTGACAGCAACGCCACCCAAACTTTCAAGATCCATAAAGGTACTAAAGACGTCGTTAAAACAGTCGACGTGACTACAGTGGTTCTACAATAATTTTATGAAGCGACGAGAATATTTTTCTGCGCAAAAACAAAACAAAAATAATAACTTTATTCAGCAATCTCTTCTCTTCCCTGTCATTATCCTTATGCGGTTAACACAGTAAGCACAGTGAAGGCTTCTGTGTTCTACGTCCGAACGCCGGCTCATTATTGGCCAAAGCTGCACATGTGAGCAGCGCGACGCATGCGTGTGATGCTGATGCAGGAGCCGTCCAATAATGAGCCAGCATTCTGACGTAGAACCTGGAAGCGCTGGACGTAAATAACATATTAGAATGACACAGAAGAGAAGAGGTTGTTGAATGAAGTCGTTATTTTTGTTTTGTTTTTGTGCACAAAAAGTATTCTCGTCCTTCACAAAATTATTGTAGAACCACTGTAGTCACATCGACTGTTTTAACGACGTCTTTAGCACTTTAGGATCTTGAGAGTTTGGATGGCGTTGCTGTCAATGGAGGCCTCTCTGAGCCATCGGATTTGATCAAAACTATCTTAATTTGTGTTCTGAAGGTGAACGGAGGCCTTAGGGGTGTGGAACGACATGAGGGTGAGTAATTAATGACAGAATTTTCAGTTTTGGGTGAACTAACCCTTTAAATGCAGCGATCCAAAACAGTCAATCTAATCATCATTCAGACAAAACTTTGCTTCAAGAATGAGCCACACTGCTGACGTGATCTAATCACTAGCACACCCTGAGCACATGTGAGTTAACTTATTTCTCTTATCGGCAAGACATATCGGCATAATTTTTCATATCGGGCCGATATTTACATTTAAAGCCATTATCGGCCGATTCCGATATCAGTTCGATAATATCGTGCATCCCTAATTTGAACTCAGTATCATCAAATTAGGTAATATTGGGCATTTTTGGGCAATCAGCAGAAATATTATTTCAAGAAGCAGGGCAGGGAATTGGTGGTTCTTGGATTTGGTTGTTGATTGGATGTTGAGATGTGAACGTTGCACTCAAAAGTGCAGATGAACGTGAGCTTGCAGGATTAAGGTTTAAACCAAAAGAGTTGGGTTTGAAGATCAAAAAGGTGATTTTTCTTTATTCATGAAATATATGCCCGATGATTTGCTCATAATAAGAGCTACAGTATAACATGCAGTCAGAAAATAACAAGTGTGATTTTCATTCAGTGCAGACTTTAAAGTGTCTTCTTGCCTTTCTGTGGTGCAAAATCCTTTTCTGTCAATTGAGAAAGATGTTTTTTTTTTTTTTGCCTGCAGAATGCTGTAGTTATGACATCTACAAGTACAAGATTGCTAACCAAATCATGATCCTCTGCTGGTGACAAACCTCAGTACTGATAAAGTTATCCTTCAATGTCTGTGGCAGTAAACCAGCTGTTATTTGCACAGCAAGATTCTCTTCAGACTGATTATGCAGTTGTGCATAACGTTATAAATTAATCATTATTCATTGATATATTAGTATTAATGCTTTTTGTTTTCATGTAAAAATGCAAAAGACATAATTAATGTTCTCAGTCCAGACATGTTTTTATTGTTGATGAACCTAATGAATATTAAAGAAAATTTTATTTCCAATGAGCAATCAACTGAATCAAATACTGTAGAAAATCATTTCAAAAGGCTTTGCTGTTTTCATCTTATTGGTCAGGTCTTTTTGAAAAAAAAAATCCCTTCTTTATGAAATAGGTTGATTATCGAAGGTCTAGGTCAAAGGTCAATAGTCATATATAACTAGGGTGGCCATATGTGCCATTTATATGGGACATGTCTTGGCCAGGATTTTTATATTGCCTAAAACATCCAAATTAGTTTGACCAATAGCATGCAGGCATTTTACATAATCGACCAATCGTGGCGCATGAGAAGGTGGGATCTACAGAGAATGATCAAAGTGATGCAAATAAGCGCATGTTATGTGTGTTTGTTTATTCATTCGACTTGAAGTGGTGCTGCGCAGACTGATCATTGTATGACACTAGGGATGTAACGATTAACCGCGAGCCGGTTGAAAATCGATTCAAATATATGACGATTCAAATCGGTTGAGATGCTAAACAAATCGCGATTCAATTAGGGGTA